ACGCTTACGCGCAGCATGCCAAAGCTGTCGATAGGCTCCTGAGCTAACTCTGCGCTAACTCATGTTACAACGCTACGGTATAGCTCTCGCTTGGGGATCCATGACTGCTCCGCCATATCCTTCCGTGCTGTCTGGGAATCTCTAAATAATTTATTCTACTCATACTCTAACATTACATTACAACGCATCTTTACCTTGTAGGGCTCACCCACTACTGTATGCCCAGTGAATGCCCCAGTGTAAACGAGCAAAGTATGTTCCATATGCCTCCCTGTTTGAAGGTACAACATTGAATAATTACCTACTCCTTAAAAATACTTTGCTGCACGCCAGTCCAGGCTGACTAATAAAGTGTCGCGGATGAAAAGCGTGGGGCCCGGACCCTCCTTTTCTCACTAGCGTAGCAGGGCCCCGCACGGCAGCGGTACGGGGCCCCAGGGGTGAAGCGAGTACTCTTACGACCTCTATATGTATTTGCAACATCAAGAACTATCATTTTCGGTTTTGTTCTCTCCTTTTGTCGCTTACTCTTTCGCCGTGAGTATTCGCGTTAGTACACCGCCCCACACCGTCGGCTGGAGCCGAAGATACTATGGCTTTCGCCCTTCCCTTCCAAAGCTTCAGCCGGTGAAAAAAGGGAATCGAGCTATAAAATTGCACGCGATTCCTGCAATCCCGCGCAGGCGCAGCCGCACCGACACCAAACATAGCAGCCGCATCCCCGGCGGCAGAGCAGAGCGGACATCAGAGTTTAAAGTGTACTTCTCTCGGTACTAATGACTGACGACGAGCAACAACAACAGCAACAACTTGCTGCCCTGCAGCTTGGGCTTCAGCAGGTACGTAGACGCTCTTTTGCTTTGTTGTTCCATCGCCNCAACTTGCTGCCCTGCAGCTTGGGCTTCAGCAGGTACGTAGACGCTCTTTTGCTTTGTTGTTCCATCGCCTCACAATGCCTCTGTCGGTAGCTGCAGCAGCGCGGTGGTTTAGTTGCAGCATTGGCGGAAGCAGCAGCAACTGCTGCTGCTGCTTGCATGGAGACTACCAAACTAAGAACGCCTTCTGCGCGTCTTCAGTTGCACGCAGCGTTCTGCAGGTGTATTTGTTGTGTCCTCTGTAGGCCCTCGAGGCACAGAGCATGTTGGCCTCGCTAACATCGCGCTGCTTCACCAAATGTGTTGACAAGCCTGGTGAGGGAGACGATGCATCCCCAGTTATGTCCCGTCCTGAGTTGTGGAAACCTCGAACGGATCTAAGGCCCTTTTCAAGATCTCTCAGAGTGTGCAGCTCCTCAGGTGTTTTGTTTTCCTCGCCGTTGCTGTGTTTGTTACTGCTGCTACAGGACGGACTCTCTCGAGCAGTCAGCAACAGTGTCTCTGGCAGTGCGCTCAGAGATGGAGCGAAGTGCAGCACTTTGTGGGGATGCGCAGCAGAGCCCTCCTGCAGCAGCAAGGAGGAGGTCTTTTGGGAACACCAGACAGTGGAGCGAACCTCTCTACGGACGGCCTTCTTAGCTGACTGCTGCAGCCGCAGCACGAAGGGCAACATCAGAGAGCCTAGCAGCANCTACGGACGGCCTTCTTAGCTGACTGCTGCAGCCGCAGCACGAAGGGCAACATCAGAGAGCCTAGCAGCAACAGCAGTTCCTTCGTTTCCTGGATTGAGTCCGCCCCCTGACTGGGCCGTGCGTCGAAGGTGTACGTACCTGGCAGCGTCTCCGCATGAGGCAGACGCCGTCACACTGTCCTGTGGGGGGAGTTCTTGATGCAAGGAGGCGCCGTTCGTCGGGAGTCATAATGAGGCCGCGCCTGAGCTGAAATATAGATGCAGGCTGTTGGCGGGAAAGAGGGTGTTGGGGGGTCGTAAGACATCCTGAAACCCGAACGGACACGTTCGCTTTCCTCAGCCCCTCCGGGGCCTAAGTTCTCATTCAAGGTCGTCCTATGGCAGATATGTTTTTGACTTCAACTCAAAAGTATGCTTTAGCTTCAAAACATTTTCGGCAATTCATCCATTGGTGCAGTATTTAGAAGAAATTAGTGGTTTTCTTGCGCCTATACATAGGAACTATAACAAAACATAAATATAGTCCTAGCCATAAACATAACATAGAAGTATGAAGTTTGTAGTTTAAATCAATTCAGCTTCACTTGCTCGGTAGAAACTACAGGGTAAACCTATTGTGTGACGATCTTCCAATATCTGCATGTTCGAATCTCTACTGTAGCCTGATGTATATTTTGCTCTTGACACGGTTAAGTCGATTGGGCTTCTCTTTTTTTCGTAAGCAATTGTTACTACATGTACATATACACATAGACATGCATATACATATGCATATATATATATATATATATATATATATATATATATATATATATATATATATATATAT